TAATAAAATATTTTTACATGTAAAAAATAAACACAATAATTAAAAAAATTAAACTATAATTAAAATTAAATAAATTAAACACAAAAGACAAAAAAGAAAGAAAGTACAATACAATTGGTTTTTAGTGCAGGGACGGTCGGCAAGTTGTAGCGGCAACGCAGACAGCCCGACAGCAATATAGGATAGACAGCAACACAAAACCAGCGGCAACGATGATCGATCTGGAGATACCATCGCCGGAGAAGAACTATTGAAGGTAAAGAGTTTAGCGTACCTTTTTGTTTCTAATTCTGAAGAATTATATGAAAAATTAAGCACCATTTATAATCCTAAAAGAATTTGGTTTCTAAATTTGTTTAAGATTCGGTTTTAAAGTTGTTTAAGATTAAAATCACAGATCTCACGATCTTACGATCTTGATCGCGATTTTTGATTTTCCATTAAGATCTCCGATTTTTATACGATTTAGATCGCTAAGCCTAGTTAACATCATAAGATCGCACAATCTTACGATGTAAATCGCGATCTTGACAACCTTGTTTATGAATGGAATACTTTTTGCATGTCTTTGAAAAGGATCAATACATCATATATATTGTTGGAGCTATGGTGTCAAGCTGCACAAGAGGCAACAAATGGAAAGAAAGCTGTACAAGTGGCAGCAAAATGAAATGAAGGGAGAGCTGCACCAAACACGGTAGCAGCAGAGTGCAGCAAGTTATGCTGCAAATGTTAATGAAATGAGGCTGTAATGAAATGCAAATGAAAGGCTATAAAGTAGCAACAAGTACAGCTACATGAAGCTACACAAGTGGCAGCAAATGAAAGAAAATGAGGCTGCAATGAAGACTGCAAAGTGGTTGCAGAGTTCCAGCCACATGGAGCCGCACAAATGGCAACAAGACTTTTAATGTAATCTTGCATTAAACATTCTATAGATTTTTCATGTATTAGATAAGGATTAGGTGAGGAAATTACCTTTATGTACTGAGTTTTCTACTATATAATAGCAGAATAATGAATGGAAAAAAATGAGTTCTCACCTCTTCAAATGAAAAAACTCCGGCTTCTCCCTTCCTCCTCCAAATCCCTTCCTTCTTTCACCAAAAAATCCAACATATGCATGAGTTCAGAGTAAAAGGCGGCTAAATCAGCTAAGAAATCCTACTAAATAATAATTAAGAAATCCTATGAGATAAGTACAGATATTTCAAATATATTTCAAACATATCAAATATACTAAAATCATAATTATCTGCAATCCATAATTATCTCCAATACTCCCCCTCAAGCTGGAGCATGAAAATTTCGAATGCCCAGCTTATCACAAAGACAGAAGAAGCGATCTTTGCCTAATGCCTTTGTGAAGATATCGGCAAGTTGATCTGTAGAAGCAATATAGAGTGGAAGAATAAGACCAGCTTGGTATTTCTCACAAACAATGTTGTTTGGGTAGCTTCACGAACCTCCACTGTAGAGATCTTCAACTACTTCAACACCTGAAAAACCCAAGGATGTTTCCTCGGGGTAAACACTTCAACACTCAAGTTAGCAATACTCAATATTCTAGAGAGAGAAGCTCTCAAGAGTAATTGTAGAGAGAGAAGCGTAGTGGAGTTATTACCTTGAGTAGAGGTAGGTGGGAGTATTTATAACCCCCAAGTGATGACACAAGGCCATACTCGTAAGCATTTGATTGGTCCACATGTACACACCTACGTGGGCATGTTTGGACTACTATATGGATATATTTTCATTTCGGGCTTAGGGATAGACAATTGGGTCTACTGTACGTGGCCCAAGTGGAATGTTGGACCCATTCCCAACATTACTCCCTCCTCAACGTTCGGTTGATGAACTAGGGTTGTTGCATTCGCGATCCAACGTTCAACCTCAAGAATTGGGCCTACAATCTTTTGACTTTATACACGACCTCGTTAGCGGCCGAGCTGAAAGATTATAGTACAGAATACACATCCAAACATGAAGGCTTGACTTGAACGAGCCGTGATGCATCCGGGTTGAACCCTTGATGAGGAAGCCTTTGGGGAAAAGGTCACACCTGGGCGACCTGAACTTAGAGCGACCTCATCCACTTGAGTTTAATCAAGTGTATGAATAGAACAAGCTCATATGCCCGACTATGAATGAGCGACTTGATACGACAGCAATCTTACTCGCGCGAACTCAGTGCATTTGCAAACTCAACGAGCTTGTAAAAGGCAGGCTCGTATGATGAATCTTCAAACTTCGAAGTGGAGTAGGATGGAGTCTGGTGGTAAGATGTGTGTCGCATACGAGGTGTTATATGGTGAGCTCGTCCACGTTAATGTGAAAATGAGCAAATGCATGACGATCTCTACCTTGGCAATTTTTCCAAATTTAAAATGAAGCAAATCTCTGGGGAGATACGGTTGATATCCTTCTGCCAGCGAATATCCCTCTGCCCTCCCCGCAATAAATGTTGTCTCAACATTTGAAGAGACGTGATAGCTAAAACCGGTGGACGTTGCACATCAAGCCGTAAATAGCTGCCACGTGTGGGGTTTTAACTAAAATGACAGAAACATATGTACGGAAATTGAGGCTGCACAATCTGTTTGAGAAAAGGAAGAGAAACGATCGTATAATCATTTTGGCATTTCCCTTTCACCATATTCTCTGTGGTTTTTACAGTGAAAGTACTTAAAGCTTTTGGAGTGAAATTCAGAAACCACAGGCACGAAAGAACATTACATTCTCCAAATTCAGGTAAAAATGGACTTCTTCAAAGAACTTAGGGAGCTTCGGGGTAACCAGGGGAGGGAAGAAGAAGAAGGCGTTTTCTAAGTGGAGCCGATTGCGATGATAGTGCCGCCAGAGTTACAAGATTTGCTAGAAAACATTACACCAAAGAGTAGTGCCAGTATGAATGCTGATGGTAACTCCGATGTAAACCTTGCTTCATCCTCCAAAAGCTCATCTTCGGAGAGCACACCCAGTGATGGGGAAGGTGTAGGGGAAGGTGTTAGGAGCCCTTTGATGGCTAATGTGGAGGAGGATGTGCTAGTTCTTGAAAAATGGGAGGATAAAACCATTAGCAGCAAGCTGAGTAACATTCGTACGGCGCCACAAAACTTGTTTGCCTGGTTTAGATTCAAGGCGGCACTTCATCACAAAGTAGCAAATGGCATGCGACTGTTAAGGTGTATAAAAAATTGGAGGAGATGATGAAGCAATACCAAATCCCTAGAACCATTTTACTACAAGCTGGAACTAAAAATGAGAGGGCGTGTACAGTATCACGAACAGGATGGATACCAGTGTATGTAGACCATTTTGACGCCGGTCTACGTTTTCCTCTGCCCAAGCTGATTTTTGATGTTCTGACAAAGTAAGAGCTAGCACTAACGCAACTGACCCCCAACAACATAAAATTTATCATAGGATTTATGCTGTTGTGTGCAAAGTTAGAGATACCTGCAAAAGCGATAGTCTTTAAGTCACTATTCTAGTGTAGATTAAGCAGTACCCAAACGAGGTGGTACTATATCTCTAAGATGAAAAAGATGATGCTCTTCACGAATATAAGGAATAAGGTGGTTAGGTGGAAGAGGCAGTTCATTTTTGTCCGTGACACTCGAACAGAGAGGATAAATAATGAGCTGGCTACTCGTATCTCGAAGTGGTGCTCAAGTCACGCTTACATGAATTATCTCACGCTGGTGCCAGACGACGTGGGCCTAAAGAACAGGCTACTAGATTATGTAAAGGTGGAAGGATTAGTAGACTTGGAGGCCCTGGTTACCCCTGAGCAGCTCATGGTATTTGGGTTTGTGGATATCGCAAACCTATATGTCGAAGGTATATTTCTATTGTAAATTGTGGTTACTAGCAAATCTGAGTCTTATTGCATTTGTTTGTGCAGGAGAGATGAGTAGCGTACTTGAGAGGCAATGTGAATGAGCTCAGCGCTCACGAGGTCATTAGGGAGAGAACAGTTCACTGAGGCATACACGCTTTGATGAACGACCTATGTTGCCGCCTCATAACTCGTCTCACAAGGGTTCGAGCTCGATATCGAGTTCACATACCGAGCAAAGAGTTGAAGCGATGCCTTCAAGTTCTCGAAGGCGTGCTCATGAGGACTCAAATGCCGAGGATGACATGCCACTTATTCGGTGGAGAACGAGCTCCAGCACTCAACTCGTTCAATCGGCCGCGGTGAGTTTGTCTAACATGCCTTCTGCCTCTGCCCGTGACGTTGCTGAGGCATTGCCTGTGTCTACGTCTACCCCAGGCCCACGGATTGCATACCCTAAAGGCTTTAGTTATACAAAAACTGACTGCCAGGTTGCCATGTTATAGGGTATGCAAAATTTTGTTCCCCTAGTGGACCAGCAACATGCAAAGGCTGCATATAGTAGTATGGGGGTAATGCTACCATGTTAAAAATGATGGACGTAAGTATTTTTATAAAATGTTTGTGCTATCCTACTTTCTCAACGTTATGTTTGAAGCTAACAGTAGGAATTGTATGGTAGGCATTCAACTACGCGGTCACACTATTTGAGTGTGAGCAGGGAGCTCATGCACAAACAAGCGAGCTCACTAAAAGCTACAAGCGGTTGACTTCCGAGAAGGTGAACTTGGAAGATGAGGTCAACTGCTTGCAGAGCTCTGAAATGGCTAACAAAGCTGCGTTAGTTGAGAGTCGAGCTGACGAGTTGGCCAATAAAGTAAACGAGTTGAAGGAGGAGTTAGAGAAGGCTCAAGCAGAGAGGGAAAACGGGATCTAGACTGCCAAGGATGAGGTCGGTTGTGTTGAAGAACGCACACAAAAGGTAGAGGTTGAGAGGCATGACATTCTGAACGAGTTGAGTTTGTTAAGGCAACGGGTGGCTGCGATGAATTAGAATCTTACCATCGTTGAAGAGGCCTTGAACCAGACTAAGAGGTCCTACCAACACTCTGTAAGTATTGCCCAAGCTCAAAGGGCGGAGTGGCTGGTCGACTTTGACATGTTTCAAGATGCCGTGGCCGTCGTCTCAATGAATACCACAATGAAAATCTGTAATGATGTCCGTGGGAAGGCATTAAAGCACCGACCTGAGTTCCCAATTAGCAAGCTGGCCTTCTTTGAAGGAGAAGAAGTTGATGAGCAAGGCAAGAGTCTTGCCCCTCCTGCTAATACAACGGTGCGGCTGAGGTGGGAATTGAATGAAGATGGAGTGCCCGTGTGGCCTCCTTCTGTTATAGAAGAAACAGAGGACTTGGAAGGCTTGCCAAGTTTCGACGTGTGGGTGTCTGGAGCACCTGAGGCAAAAGCTGAACCCTCCAGCACTCCTCCAACATCTCAGCCTGTCACCACTCCAGCTCGTTCTTCTCTAGCTCATGCTGATGCATCCATCCCCGTAGATTTGACGAATAACTAGGGTTCTAGGCTTTATCTTTTTCTTTTGTATTTTTTGTGTTGGTCAATTGACCTTTTTGAACAATTTTATCATTGTCTCCTTTATTGCCATATATAAATTTTTGGAAAGAAATACAATTTGGACGATTCTCTATGAAATTTTTATATTCATTGAATTTTGCATACACTTTACATTTTCTAGATAACGATACAGACTAACTGTAATATTTCTTGAGGTTATGTATATTCCAAGTGAATGGTAGTTGACGACCTTATAAATCCACTAACAAATAAGACTCAAGTCATTTAATAGGAATTACAATGTAAAGACCCTCCCAGTTAGGAGCAAGCTTGCCCATGTGTGAGTAAGCATTAGTAAGCCTAGCTTTGCGTAAAACGAGGTCGCTGACCTGAAATTGACAAGCATGCACCGGTTTATTGTAAAATTTGACAACACGAGTTTGATAAGCCATGTTTTTCATCCGAGATATCTCCCTAACCTCCTCTACAAGGTCTAGATTTTCTCTTAGGAGCTGCTTGTTATTATAATCATTACATCGAGTAGGTCTGTTAGGCAACAAGCCAATTTCCACAAGGATTACGACCTCAACTTTGTAGGCAAGCGAGAATGGGGTCTCTCTGGTGGCTGAGTTGGGCATGGTACGACACGACCATACCACTTTGTTAAGCTTATCAACCCAATTGGAATGTGTGGCTAGGACGTGTGCCTTAAGGCCACACAAGACAATTTTATTAGCCAACTCTGCTTATCCATTTGACTATGGAGTGTAAATGTACGTTAGAGAGAGTTCAATATCATAATCATCGTCGAACGACCTGAGCGCTGCAGGTCGAAACTGAGGACTGTTATCAATGATGATTCGCTTAAGAATACCGAACCCGCACATAAACAAATTGGCTAAGCCTCATAGTATGTGCGCACATAGTGTATATGGTTTGATCCATTGAAGAATACCTACATAATATAGAATTGAATAAAAATTCATCTATCTTCTTTTCAGTTGTTCTGGATAATGGCTTAACTTCTATCCACTTGGTGAAATAATCCACAGCAACGATTAGATGCATCACCCTCCTTTGCCCTTAACGAAGGGATCGAGCAAATCCACTCCCCATTGGGCAAAAGACCAAGGCGACGAGAGAGATGACAACATTTCTCCTGTATCAAAGGAGGTATTCATGTTTAATTTAGAATGAAGCTTATGTACAAGTTTCAGGATGAGCTCGAATACTTGGCATGTGAATGTCGTTAGCGTTAAACTGGTAGGTTGGACACTTTTTGACATAATTTTGTGCATCTTTTGCCATAGTAGACCAATAATATCCATGCCTTAGAAGTTTCTAAGCTAATGTTTTTCCACCTATGTGTGTGCCACACACTCCTTTATGGACTTTTCTTATAGCATATTCAGCTTCATAAAAAGTTAGGCAACATAATAGGGGCATTAAAGCTGCTCATTTATATAACTGATCATCAATTAAGGTGAAATGAGCAGCCCTACACCTGATCAATCGAGCATCAGATGGGTTCTCAGGCAATTCACCATTTCGCAAATAATTAATTAGGGGTGTGGTCCAACTCGGTGATGAGGGATCCATGCTTAACACTAAGCATTCAGTGGCAGGGTCAGCATAACTCAGTGCATCAAGTATCTCAATAAATTTCGTCCTTTGGGGATTGATATCTTGTGACAAAACTAACTTCGATAATTCACCAGCTCGTTTATTATCTGCCCTCGGCATCTGGTCATTCTAGAACTAAACAAAGCCTGATTTCAACCTGTTGACTATAGAGGTGTAACGACCGAGCTGAGGGTCTTTGATATCACAACTCCCATTCACTTGATTTACGACAAGCTAGCAGTCACTAAAGACTCTTATGTTTTGTGCTTTCAGCTCCAATGCTACCTTCAAACCATAAATGAGTGCTTCGTATTCAGCAGCGTTATTGGTGGCCTGAAACTTGAATCTTAAAGCATGCTCGGTTTTAAATCCATCTGGACCTATAAACACTGCTCTTGCTCCTGCCCCTGATCCTTCTACACTTGCAACCCCATCTATGTACAATGCCCATACAGGGTGTGAGGCTGTAATTCCTTCAAGAGCAACTAGATGGCATTCCACTAAGAAATCTGTCAAGGCTTGACCCTTTATGGCTGCACGCGGTTCAAATTTGAGATCGTACTCACTTAGCTCGATTGCCCATTCGATTAGTCAACCAGAAAGTTCAAGTTTCTATAATATCTTCCTCAGTGGTAAGTCGATGAAGACAATAATCTGGTGGGACTAAAAGTAGGCCCTTAACTTTTGGGCGGTGCAAACAAGGGCGAAAGTAGCTTTTTCAACAGTTGAGTAGTTCCTTTCTAAACCTTATAGGACCTTGCTTCAATAACATATGGGTTTCTGGTGTTTATCTTGTTCCCTTAGCAAAACCAAGCTGACTGCCTCATCTGCAATTCCCAGATACAAATATAGCTTCTCTCCTTCAATAGGTTTAGAGAGCAAGGGTGGTGATGTTAGATATTGTTTGAACTTATCAAAAGCCTGTTGGCATTCATTAGTCCAGTTGAAGTTTTTGGGCTCTCTCAAAGCTTTAAAAAATGGAAGGCATTTTTTTGCCAACCTGACAATAAATTTGTGCAAAGCGACGAGATGACCTATTAGACATTGCACATCTTTTACTGTTTTAGGAGGCTCCATTTGCTGCATGGACTGAACCTTATCCAGATTCACCTCAATTCCTTTCTTGGATATCACATATCCCAGAAATTTGCTTGATTCCACAACAAACATACACTTCAAGGGGTTTAACTTCACTGTACTCGGCGTAGGTTCTGAAATATTTCATTGAGATCGTTAATATGATCTTCAACTCGTAAACTGGTGACAATCATATTGTCGATATACACTTCGATATTTCTACCTATCTAAAGCTTAAAGACAACCTAAACTAATTTCTGATATGTGCCCCCTACATTTTCAATCCAAACAGCATCATTACATAGTAGTATATAGCATCCCCTACATAACATGCCATTCTCTCCTGGTCGTCTAAACATAGCTGAACTTGATGGTATCCCAAACTGGCATCTAGGAAACTCATGCGCTCATGACCGACTGCACGCTCTACTAATTTCTTAACATTAGGCAAAAGGTGTGGGTCTTTGGGACACGCTTCATTCAAGTTCGTGAAGTCGCACATTCTCCACTTTTTGTTAGGCTTTTTCATGAGCATAGGGTTGGACACCCATTGCGAATATTCAACCCACCCGATGAAGCCTACCTGTAATAGCTTTGTATTTCTTCATCTATAGCGGCTTGCTTTTCAAGGCCAAAAAGGCGATGCTTTTGAACCACTGGCTTTCTTATAGGGTCTATACTGAGCTTATGGATTGCGAATTCTATTGGAATTTTGGGCATTTCATCTATTATCCAGGCAAAAACATCCTGGTTGGACTTCAAAAATTCCAGAAGCTCGGTTCTTTCTTTCACTATGAGTTTGGTTCCAATCTTCACTGTTTTTTTTGGGTTCACCAGGGTTTAAAGGAACTGTCTCCACTGATTCTAATGGCTCAGCCTTTTGCTCTGCATTTTTTGGTCGGTGATCTATGTCAGATCTATTCATTATTTGCAGGCCTGGCTGGCCCGGCCTAGGAACCTAAGATGAAGAGGCCTTTGGCACCGTCGCAAGCTCAACTTTCTTGAATGTATCTTGGTAGCACGCTCTAGCCATTTTCTAGTTTCCCTTGAGTACTCCTATCCCCTGAGGAGTTAGGAATTTCATACACAGATGTGGTTGGGAAATGACAGCCTTCAATTCACAAAGAGTAACTCTCCCTATTATAGCATTAAAAGCTGATTCCATTTTGACTACTAAGAAGCTCATTGAGGCCATCTTGAACCGTGGTTCAGTACCTACATAGATGGGAAGGGTGATTACCCCTTCAACAGAGACAGGTTGATTGCCGAATCCGTATATTAGCCTTTCATATTTCTTCAAAGAAGCCGGGCTTAATTGCATCTTTTGGAAGCAACTCCAATATAAGATGTCTAGAGAGCTGCCCGTATCAATGAAGATCTTATTAACATTATGATTACTTATGTGGACTGTTGCCACGAAGCGGTCAACATGAGGCATCATAACATCAGATTCTCCCTCTAGTCGCTTATAATCAACAAGACTGAACGTAATGGGAATGTTTTCCCATTTCGCTTCTTCAAACAGTCGTTTTAAGGGACCATTTTTGTTCACAATCATTACCTGACGAGCATAGACTTTACGACCTTGAGCACTCTGGCCTCTTGAATGTATGCCACCAAAAATCATATTTATTGTGCCTGAGGGTGGAGGTATTCTGGTGTAACCTACCCCTTATTGTCCTTTTGGTTTTGAGTTGTAGTCCTCCACCCCTGTCATCGCTTATTAGATTAACGTCCTCTATATACTCTACCGGGCTCAGAAGAGTATTGATTCCCTTGGTACATGTTCTGATTATTGCCGACCTGGTACCTCTATCCGTGAGGTTGACTGTAATCTTGTACATAGTGGGTTTGGCTAGGCTGTTGGGTGTAGGATTTTTGGATATGTGCTTCCAGTTTTCCATTTCGAGCTAAAAATTCCAACTCATCCTTCAAACTCTAGCAGTCGTCTGTACTATGGCCATATCCATGATGATAATCACAATATATACTCCTGTCTATTCGAGGTGAGTCGTGAACAATAAGGGGTGGCCTCTTAATCCAATGTTGAATCTGTGCTAGGATTTGAGACCTCGACAAGCCCAACGGGATGTAAGTTGCATATTTTGGAAAACTAGGTGGATTTCCTCTATGATCAACAATTTTTTGTTTTTTCTTCTCCTCCCTTCCTTATGGTTGTTTGTGGTCTTTGTTTTGTTTATCATCAGCTTGCCGTTTAGATGACTGAAAGTCTTCTGATAGGATGAAGCTTGTCGACCTGTCATTTACTTCATTCCATGATTTTGTTAAATTTTCTAGCAGGTCGTCGAGGAACCGACAAGGTTTGAGGCCATGCAGCAAGGCGGATAAGCAGATAGTGTTAGGGGCATTGTCAATGTCCAAGGTGACCTTATTAAATCACTACATGTAGTCCCTTAAGGGCTCTCCTTTTTTCTAGTGAACCTGCATTAACTCGGTGGCTGTGCGCTTTATCTCCTGCTGGCTCACGAACTTATTGGAAAACAAGGTAGCGAGCTAAGGAAAAGAACTAACAGAATGCCACGGGAGCTTGTGATACCACCTTATGGCCGTCGACTTCAATGTAGCTGGAAAAACTTTGCACATCATGGCGTCTGTTGCACTTTGTATCTTCATGATGGCTTGGTAAGTATGCAAGTGTTCATCTGGATCACTAGAGCCATCATACGTTTCCAAGTGGGGAATCTTAAATCCTTTTGATAAGGCTCCGTCATGATGGATATGCTTAAGGGGGCACTATCTAGGTTGGGTACTTGTTGATGCGACCTTGGACTCTTCAAGTCATCGATGGATTTTTGTATACCTTCGAGCTACTTTTCAAGCTCGTTATTCTTCTTCAACAATTCTTCATTGAGCTTGGACGAGTTAGGTTCAAGGTTCAACTTCCCACTTCCTCTAGTTTGGTGGGTACGACCACATTACTTAAGGCGGGGGAATCACGGACAGCAACCTTTGTCGGATGACCACCCTTATTAAGCAAAGGAATCAGCAGATCATCAAGGATCAAACAAGAGAGTATCTTCCCCATTGTCATCTCCAAAACTCTGGTCTTTTCCTCTAACTCTGATGTTCAATTTGACTGCATGGGCCTACTAGGTTGCTACGCATCATGAATGGAATGTCTTCACCACGCAAACCTTAGGGTCTGAAATTGTTCCTTGGGCTGAGTTGCATACCTGATTGGTGTTCATTCATCATCAGAACCGCTTAGATGTCCCCCTTTGCTCCCCTTACAAAGAGGTTCCTTGGCATTGGTCGAAAGTCATCGGGATCAGATTCTGGAACTTGAGCATTGCTTTGATCGTCCTCTCTGTCGGCCGAGGGGGGCTGACTTCTTGAGAAAGTATGCACCATATTTATCTCTCACTAATTAAGCTACACTACTTTTTGTAAGTTCCCACAAACGGCACCAAAAAGTTTGGGCAGCTTCACAAACCTACACTGTAGAGATCTTCAACTACTTCAACACCTAAAAAACCTGAGGATGTTTCCTCGGGGTAAACACTCTGACGCTCAAGTTAACAATACTCAATATTCTAAAGAGAGAAGCTCTCAAGAGTAATTGTAAAGAGAGAAGCGTAGTGTAGTTATTACCTTAAGCGGAGGTAGGTGGAGGTATTTATAGCCCTCGAGTGATGACACAAGGCCATACGCGTAAACATTTGATTGGTCCACATATACGCACCCACGTGGGCATGTCTGGACTACTGTATGGAACATTTTCATTTTGGGCTTAGGGATAGACAACTGGGCCTACTGTACGTGGCCCAGGTGGAATGTTGGACCACCCATTCCCAACAAATGTGACAACCTATCTCAAGATGCTTTGTTCTTTCATGGAAAACAAGATTAACAGCTATATGATGGGTTGCTCGATTGTCACTATATAATGGAGTAGGAGTAAGGAGTTGAATACCAAAAGTGGACAATAAGCTATGCAACCAAATAATTTCTTTAGTTGTGATGGCCATAGCACGGTACTCAGCCTCAGCAGAAGAGTAGAAAAAAGAGAGACTATGTTCTACTTCTTACTCTTCTAAGAAATAGGACTATTACCAAGAAAGATGCAGTAACTGGTGGTGGGCCATTGAGTGGTGAGGCAACTAGCCCAATTAGAATCACAAAAAGTAGTCAACTGGAGAGAGCCTTTAGAAGAAAGTAAAATACCTTAACCTAGGTTTCTCTTTAAATACCGAAGGAATTGATGTGCAGCATCTAAGTGACATTTTTTAGGAGATTGAAGAAATTGACTCAATGTGTTCACTATAAAGGAGATATCCGGCCTTGTAATGGTGAGATATATGAGATGACCAATCAGACAGCGATACATGGAAGCATCAATAAGAGGAGAGCATCAAAAGGAAGAAGCTTTAGATTTTGCTCCATAAGTGTATCAGCAGTTCGAGACCCAAGAAGTCTAGCATTATTAAGAAGCTCAATAGTGTACTTACGTTGAGAAAGATAGAGGCCTTGAGGAGAAGAAGCAACTTCAATACCCAGAAAATATTTGAGAAAACCCAAGTCCTTGAGGCGAAATTGACTAAATAAGAATTCTTTCACCTGGTTGATTAGTTGAGGACTGCTACCCGTGATCACCATATCATCAACATAAACCAAGACATAAATACAGGAAGCTCCACAGGGCAAAAAAAAAGAGAAAGTAATCTGCAAATGATTGAGTAAATCCAACAGCAAGTAAAGCATGAGAAAATTTGACAAACCAATTACATGATGCTTGCTTAAGACCATAAGGGGATTTGTTCAACTTGCAGATAAGACCATGCAATCCTCGGGCCTGAGGCAGAGGCAGACATAGGCAGTGCCTCAACGATGTCACATGCAGAGGCAGGAGGCGCGTTAGACAAACGTACCACGGCTGGTTGAATGGGTTGAGAACTGGAGCTTGTTCTCCACCGAATAAGTGTCACATCATTCTTAGCATATGAGTCCTCATGAACACACCTTCTAAAACCCAAGGGCACGGCTTCAACTCTTTGCTCGGAATGAGGCCTCGAGGATGAGCTAGAGCCCTTGTGAGCCGAGCTGCAAGGCAGCAACACGGGTCGTTCGTCAAACTATGTTTGCCTTTGTGAGCTTCCCTCCACGCGCCTTTCCCTCGATCTCTGTGCTCGTTCACGTTGCCTCTCTAATACACTACTCATTTCTCCTGCATAAACAAATGCAATAAGACTCAAAGCAACTAGTAATCATAATTCACAATAGAAATATACCTTCGATATATAGGTTTTCCACATCAACAAACCCAAACACCGCAAGCTGCTCAGGGGTAACCAAGGCCCCTAGATCCACTAATCCCTTTATCTTCACATAATCCAATAGTTGATTTTTCAGATCCACATCACGAGGCATCACTTGGGGATAGTTCATATATGTATTTGCAATGCAACATTCAGAGATGTGAGTAGCGAGTTCATTATTCATCTTCTCCATTCACGTGTCACAAACGAAAATGAACTACCTCTTTCACCTCACTACTTTATTCCTTATGTTCTTGAAAAGTATCATCTTTTCTCTTCCGGAGATATAGTACCATCTCGTCTAGTTGCTACTCAATCGACATTGGAATAACGACCTAAAGACTATTGCCTTCGCAAGTATCTCCAACTTCACACACAACAGCATAAATCCTATAGTAAACTTTATACTGTTGGGGGTCAACTATGTTAGTGCCAGCTCGTACTCTGCCAGAACATCAAAAATTAGCCCAAGCAGAGGAAAACGTAGATCGGCATCAAAATGGTCTACGTATACTGGCACCCATCTAGTTCCAGACATTGAACATGCCCGTTCATTCTTCATGCTGGTTTGCACTAAGATCATCTTAGGGATTTGGTATTGCTTCACCATCTTCTCCAATTTCTTATACCCCTTAATATTAGCCGCACCATCTGCTACTTTGTGATGAAGCGCCGTCTTGAATCTAGACCCAGCAAGCAAGTTTTGCAGCGCCTTAGGAATGTTGCTTAATCTGCTGCT